ACTTTTACAACACTCATGCTTTTGATGTAGCCTGAGATCAGTACAAACTAAAAATTCATACAGGCAATGACTTGTTTATACAGCTCTATACACTGAAATGTAAATACAATATTTATATTCCGATTGATTTATTTGATAATTATATGGTAAAAATGAGGAAGTAAGCAATTTTTCAGTAATAGTGTGCTATGACGCTTGTATTTTTGTGTCTGCTTTTGTATTTTTATGTCTGATTTTAAGTGAGGTGTAATTTGGGGATACACAAGACAAATCAAATGCCTGAAAGGGCTACGGTAGTCTGAAAAGGTTGAGAGCTACTGCCTTACAATCCTTCCTCAGCTGCTATACTGGAAAATTACTTTAAAGAAAAATGAGGCAGAGAACTTAATGTCTCCAGGTGGTTTTCAAGTAAGCCACAAGAGGGCATGTAGTGATTTTATGTACAGCAGATTATGCCACGCTTTCACTATTAGTATGAGTAACTGCGACAATAAGGACAGCTTTAAAGCTGTAGCTATGATGCCAAGGACATAGGCAAAGAGGGACTGAAATTAGATTGCTTGGCATAAGGGGTTTTTTTATTACATAATGGGCAGAACTTAAGTCTTATGCATTAATTGCACTCCTGAGAGACTAGAGGCCAGATCACAAAAAACACCATCACAGTGGGTTCTCTCAGCAGACAGACAAGGACTGAATGAGCACAGACATTTACTGGATTTACTCCCTCGCCCTTAGTGAAGGTCTCGTCTAAAAAAATTTCTCAAGTGTGGCACATTTTTAGCCCTTTTCCTGACTGCATCTAGCCCATTCCTATCACTGCCCTTCAGTCCAGCCGCAGGCTGCTAGGAAGAAAAGCAGAATGGGAATGAATGCTTGTGGAATTTTTTTCAGCTTGTGCCATTAGAAAGTACACCAGGCTAGCACAGTGGAAAGGCACTATCTTGTAAGCTGAATGGCCTGCGTCCAGGAGGGAAAATGGCATTTTAATTTGAAAGTAGCTCCCCATCTCACCACCACCATGAGATTGTGGCTCACACACCTTGGACTCCATCTCGCACAGGTGGCAGGAGGTAGCACATTCCATCATGGGACAGCATTCTCAGCATTCTGCCAGTTGACAACTCACAGGGGCCTGTGGGAGTAAAAAGGCTGCTGGTGGGAAACAAGGGTGGTGCTATAAAGCGACTGCCACCTCCCATGGCCGAAGAGCCTGTGGGGAGCAAGTTCACAGCTCAAGAACTGGGTGGCCTTAGCTGAGAATTGAAAGTGGCCAGGGAGCACCCTGATTCAGTGCTTTCCCTCTAGCAGTCTCCTACGAAGTCAGGGCTTCTGTGAAATACGCAGCAGCAATTAAAGTCGCTCCCCATACAGTAGAAAACCCCCAAAATGGGTGATGGTATCAACCTCCCCAATTTGGGCTTAACTCACACTAAGAATAGGAATAATTTGGCTGAGAGGCTGGGTATATCGATCACTGCCAGATCGGGGCATATATGTACATAAAGCACATTGACCATCCCATCGGCACTTAGGCCATGCCCCAGAATGACCATCCACAGTTCCTGTCATAGGGCAGATAGTCTCTTCACCATGTTTCAGAGGCGCCAGACTAGGAGTAGCCAGATTCCAACCTTAATTCCTGATGGTAAGTTTTATGCACAGCACCAGCCAGAATTCAGCCCCAGTGGTTGGACAGCAAGGAAGAAAGAGAAGAAAGTGCTCCATCCAAAGAAATCCTTTCACAGGAGTGGAAGAAATGTTGCCCTTAATGTTCTCCACTCCTGGGTATTTAGTTTCCACTAAGGTAGGTCAATTGGTTGCTGGAGTTTTATGTTCAGTACTTTTTTTGAGTCCACAGCAGCTAGAATATGTTACTCACTGACCTGTGCTGGTGCTGATGATTGTGTACGTTGTAGCATCAACACTTAAACCTCATTCAGCACACCAGGAATTTAAAACAAATCAGCAAGAGGTCCTTACAGAGCAATGGAACCTAAATCTAACCTATGAAAGTACAACTGAATGGTTCACAAATTTAGTTTGGCTCAACTCTCATTCCAACATTGGTTTCTCTTTGCTCTGTTTGTGAGGACAGTTGTACGTCACGTTAAATGATGACGAGATAGGTAATAAACAATCTACCAACAACTTTGTGTTTTTTACTACAGACTCTCCAGCACATTAGAACTTTCAGTGAAAGTTGGAATGCTATAGATATTGATTAAGGAAAATTTAATAGTAAGTCAGAGCACAAAGAGCTATTGGAGAGCCAAAAAAAACCCACATTTACAATGCGTCGTGTGACTGAATGATGTATGTTGAGTTAGGATATTTTACTTATGTAATCAAAGATGACATACTTTAAAATATGACTCATTGCATGTAACAACATATATTTAATGTATCATATACAACATTCCTGCATCCTCAAAGTCAGTATTTTAGGAACAAGTTTTGCATTTAGCAGAAATTACAATAGGGCCATGTGTATGCAAAGAACGCTAAGTATATAACAAGATTTGCACATATCTTCCATGATCAGTGTGCTTTACAGTTAGATTTATACTACCACTTTCAAAATGCTAAGTCCTTTAATATGCTATATGTTTATTCAGATAGTTAAAACAGGGCTTGATTTTTCTAGAAATCAACACAGTAAATTGTACCATAAAAGATACCATTGGTAAAGCATAGCAGTGAGTAGTTCCAACAATATAACATACTATCCACTGAAGCCTACAAGATCCATCCAGGACTTAATAAATGATGGGAACACAGGCGATCTCAAGAACATATGGCAAAACCCTGATACAAATGCAATACTAAGCCAAGTTATTTATGTACTATTGAGGAAAGCAAGAGGGAAGTATGGGAATATCAAATCCTGTTTTAATCCTCCTCCCATACCCAGAGGCTTGGAAAACTAAAGAGCATTTCAATCTTTCCAGGTGAGATGCTTAATTTCTATATCCCATGCTTTGAAAAATGTTTTAGGACTAGTTTGTTTACAGCAAATAGTTTTTTCAACACTCAGAGTAACATTTTTTCAAGTCATTAATGTAGGAGAATCTGTATAGGTTGAAATGAAAAGAGCCTACAAAGTTTAGAGGGAAATTTGAAATACCCGACTCCTTCTCTAGCTGACATTGTCCAATAGAGGAAGCCTATCAGAGAACTTACTAGAGCTAAATTCTTTCTGGTCTGAGAATTTAGCTGTTGAGGCTGTAAAATAATGTGCTATTCCATAATGTGAATGAATTTATAAAGTGCCAGTGACATGTGCCAATATTACACAGGTAGGGAAGAGCAGCAGCTGGAGTAAGAGGTAGCTAGAGCAAAAGACTGAAATTTTTTTTTTGCTCTCTAGTGATGCCCGTAGAGAGGACCTATGCCTGCCAGTGGGGGTTGGGGGTGGGGCAGGGGTGCAGAGTGAGGGCAGCCAGCTTCAGCAGTGTAACTGAGCATGTTCAGTCCATGTGAGCATTAGGGTTGCCAGGTGTCTGGTTTTCGACTGGAACACCCGGTCAAAAAGGGACCCTGGTGGCTCCAGTCAGCACTGCTGACCAGGCCGTTAAAAGTCCAGTTGACGGTGCAGCAGGGCTAAGGCAGGCTCCCTACCTGGCTCCACTCAGCTCCTCAGAAGCGATGTCATGTCCCTCGGTTCCTAGGCAGAGGCACAGCGCTCCCCCCACCCCCCATGTGTCGCCTCTGTCTGCTGGGATTGGCTTTAAAGGTTTGGTGAGGCCATTTGGGAAGGACCAGGTGGGGTCCTTACATATCTATGCTCTAATTTCTGCCCTTCATACACAAACACACATTCACCCCTGCTTCTCTGGTACTCATAACACTGCCATCTCCTGACAATTTCCTGCAATCCCTCACCACTTCAGCTGTGTCTGACCCCCCACTCACCTCTTTCCTCTCAGCATAATCTGAGAAGTTTCCATGTGCAGAAGGGCAGGTATAGGATTCAGTCTCTGCCACAGGCCCCTGGTACTGAAATCGCACAGGAGTGTCTGTTTAGTTAGAAATGAATTCCTGCTCATTACTTACTTGGACATGGGAAATTTGAATTAGGGAGTTTCCTGGTGTTTATTTTAGTTCTTATGCAATTTAAGTTAAGGGCTGATTCTGTGGCTTAAACTGTCCCCACATATTCCTTACAGTATTCCATCTAGCCCCAGAAGAGCATTTGCAGAATCGTACATGGAATATTTGAGTCCTTTTTTTAAAGAAACATCACTTATTTGCAATATTGTTTTATGTTTATATACTCTACTATCCAAAGATATATAGTCCATGAAATTCTGCTTGTCACAGTATTGTTAGTTTAGAAACACATTTAGGAAAAAGATTTGCATTTGTCTTTGTTTTTCTTTTTTTCTGGCTTCGGGATTCTCAGATGATGTGATCCAAACCTAGGCACCACAAACTACAAACAACCTTTGGCAACAGGAAAACTCTATCCTGGCTTAGGCTGCACATGTGTGTGTGAAAGCAAACACATGTAAAGGAAAGTACCTTGTGTGTTGTTTCAAAATGTTTGAAGATATGAGACTGATGACCCCAAATGACTGGAAAAGAACAGGGCCTCTGAGATGAGAACAATGTCGCTAGCTGTCTAGCAAAGGAATGTGTGTCAAGTTGTTAGTTCAGCACTTGGCTAAGAGTTGAACAGCTAATCAGTTGAACAGCTAATCAGGGGTAGCTGTGTTAGTCTGGATCTGTAAAAGTGGCAAAGAGTCCTGTGGCACCTTATAGACTAACAGACGAAATAGGTCCTCTCTAAAGGCAGTACTAGAGAGCAAAAAAAAATTTCAGTCTTTTGCTCTAGCTACCTCTTACTCCAGCCTCTGCTCTTCCCTACCTGTGTAATATTGGCACATGTCACTGGCACTTTATAAATGCATCTGACGAAGTGGGTATTCACCCACGAACGCTTATGCTCCAATACGTCTGTTAGTTTATAAGGTGCCCACAGGACTCTTTGCCGCTCATCAGGTTAGTTTCCTACAGGTAAATCTGATGACACAATGCTACAGCACTAGGCCTCTTCTGTATAATTTTTTTTGCTGAATCTTGCATTTATCAGTGGTTCAAAACCTTTTCTGTATCTTCTGTGCTGAAAGAGTGCAAGCAGCATAATTAGTATAACTGAAGCTATCAGTGCTCCTCCGATAGTGGATCCAGCCATAATAGCCCAAGCATGTGTTTCTTCAGGTGAACCTGTAAATACAAAAAGAACGTCTGAGTTATAGAATGGAAATAATTTTGCTTCTAAAATCACAAAGGAGGAGGAGCAAATATTAGACTCTGCTTTAACAACAGTAGGACTATTATAACTTGTATTGCCGTAGCACTCAAAGGCTGCAGTCCGGGTCAGGGCTCCATTGTGTAGGCAATGTGCAAATATACAATAAAACACAATCCTTGCTGCAAACGTTTATAAACTAATTTAAGACTAGATACAAGAAGCGAGTGTAAAAAAATGGAGGGAATGAGAAAGGAGGGACAATGGAAAGAGGGACAGGAGCACAGAGTTAAAAAGCCTAGCTATGCACAATTTGCAAGTTTTGGGTCAGGGTTTTATTTATTTAGGTAGCTTTGAGAAAAATAAGGAAAAATGAACGGTCTCAGCTATACTCACTATTGTGAAGTGCTAGAACACAGTATGTTCTTATCAGTCTGTCCATCCCAACCCCACATGGCAGAACATCTTTACTTGGTCTTTTCACTGTCCCTCTCAGAAGCTTATTTTGGGTAAAATATTCAGAAGTGTCTCAGTGACTTAGAAGCCGGAGAGTACGTCTACACAGCAGAAAAAGACCCACAGCAGCAAGTCGCAGAACCCGGGTCAACTGACTTGACCTTGCGGGGCTCTGCTGCGGGGCTAAAAATAGCAGCATAGACATTTGGGCTCAGGCTGAAGTCCAGCCTCTAAGACCCTCCCAACTCCCTAGGTTTCGGAATCTGGGCTCCAGCCGAAGCCCGAATAGCTACACTGCTAGTTTTATCCCCTGCAATGTGAGCTGCCCCATGCTCTGAGACTCACTGCTCCTGTTTTTTGGTTGGGTTGTTTTTTTGTTTTTTGGTTTTTTTTTTAAGTTTAGTCTCATTTTCAAAAGTAAGGCTCCTTAAGTCTCTTGAAAATGGGCACTTAGGCTTCTAAGTCACTTACACATTTCTGACAGTTTTACCCGATGTATTCCTGGTGTCCATGACAGTACTACCATCTTCACCCTACGCTGACTTTCAGTGAGACTTGGGCAGCTTGGATCCCTAAGCCCGTTTGGAAAAATGTGACTTAGGAGCATATGAAAATGTTGCTCTTAATGCTCAGTTATCTGAAGACCTTTATGTGAAAACTTGAGCAGCCGGGTCTCTTACTCTGTAATCCCTTTAGCACGTCTGTTAATCACCTGGCAGATCAATGGCATAGCTGTAGCCAAGTTGTTCTGCAGCTAGAAAGAGCTGCCCGTTGGTCACAGGAGGGAAGAAAGGGACCATGTTGAACATCCTGTTGTGCCCAATAGGGGCCAGCTCCAGAGGCCAAGCATTGTCAGAGGGGTTAAATTGTTTCATCCACTCATCAAAGATGGCATCAGTAAAGGAATGAAGGACCTGTCAATTCAAGTACACATACACACATGTATAAACACCTTTCTGGTTCCAACAGCTTCCAACATTTTGTGCTTTTAAAAAAATCCCCAGGACAGGATTGGTTTGGAAGTAGGAAATATCTGTAAATATCACAACTTCTGCATGTGGACGCTGTCGCACTGAAGAGTGCTGAACTCCCTAGCAGCTGGATTGGTCCCTTGTAATCTGCCCCTCACTTAGCTGCGCTGCCTCAGGAGCCCAGCAAGGCCCAAGCTATGACTCACCGAGTGTCACAATTCAGTCCCACCAGGGAAAGAAGCTTGGCCGCTCCTTCTCCTCAAGCACCTGCTTTCCCCAAGGGGGCGGGTCAGCCGTATCGACCAGTATACTGAGAGAGCAGAGCCTTGGTTCTGCTGGCTCCCTCACCCTGCCAGCCCACCTGTGCTGGCTTTAGAGTGGCGACGGTTAGCTCCATAAAATGTAACCTGCAATGCAAGTAGCCCATGCAAAAGAGTTGGGGGTGTATAGTCCCCTACATGGGCTCATAAAACAGTTTAAAATTGAGCTCTAATCTAAGACAAAGACTAAAGAGAAATGCGGGCCAGACTTTCCAGCCCATTGGCTCAGCCTTTCACTGGTAAGGGCAGGGAAGCTAAATTGGTCTAGTTTACACGCCACGGAGCCAGTAAAAGGTATTACAAGATGTCAATTGAAGTAGAATGGGGGCTGTTTTATTATACACAAGTGTGTTTCTTGCTACACGGCTCCCTCTACCCCTTGAAGTCGGAGTTACACCAAACTGGACATTCTTAGGGTGCGTCTACAATTGAGCTGGAAGGTGTGACTCCCAGCTCACGCTGACACAGCTGAGCTAGCTCTGTGCTTACAAATGTATCCGCAATGGCACAGGTGGCTGCTCAGCCTGGCCACTCCGAGTATAATCTCACCCGGCCCCCTGCAAACATATTCAGGCAGAGACCTGCCACGCTGCTACTTTTAGGCACGAGCTCAAGTAGCGCAAGCGTGGGTACGTCTACACGAGCTGGGAGTCACACCTTTCAGCTCAAATGCAGACATGCGCCCAAGCTTTCTGAGACTCACACTAAGTAGACCGAATTCCGAGGCAATGTGTAAAGGGTGGAGGGTGTCAGTTACACCTTGGTAAGTGGATCTGAGTCTAAAAACCAAGTCTAGGGGAGTCTATATGAAGCCTACGTGGGTGTAACATACATGTTTTAGGGGCCAATGAAGGTGTAAGATACATCAACTTATTCTCTTTCTCAACTTAAACTCGCTTCTGAATTTGGCCATAGGAGTCCTCACTCCTTTGGCTTTAGTCTTCAGGAAACAGTCTTCCAATTAGCATTAGTAACCCTCCCAGAACTCTGACGCAGCAAAGACACAAAACCAAATTATTTTGCATTTTTTAAAAAATTCTCTGGAAACAGAAGGTCCTGATGAACTGGAAAAGAGCTATGGTAATCTCTGTAGTGGGCAAAAAAGAAGATCTGGAAAGTGGTCTGTCAAATCGATAATGCCAAGTTGAAAACACTTCAGCTATGGTACAAAAGATTTCAGAGCTGCCAGAGAAGAAAAGTGTTGTCCAATGTTGTTTAAAGTGAGCTATTTTCTCCACATTGCAATTTTTGAAATGCATAGTTTTCCATTCCCTTTTACTGTTTTCCCTCCTCACTAATTTTCTCTCTGGGTGCCCAGCACATTTGAAAATCAGGCCACATATTTAGGTGCCTAAAAACCTTAACTCTAGGTACTCACTTTGGCAGAGCTTGGCCTACAAGTTTAGTTACAGGACTTTGGGTGAGCACAGCCTTTCAAATGCAAGTATTTCTTCAGAGAGTAAGTTTTTCATTAGCCACCAGAGGGAGCCAATACACTCCAGAGAAAGAAAAGGAGTACTTGTGGCACCTTAGAGACTAACCAATTTATTTGAGCATAAGCTTTCGTGAGCTACATCTCACTTCATCGGATGCATCAGAATGCATGTTTATGCTCCTTTTCTTTTTGCAAATACAGACTAACACGGCCACTACTCTGAAACTCCAGAGAAAGAGAGACTCTCAAAATGGACATACAGCAGCAAGGAAGAGGGGTTTAGAACAAAGTTTACAGAAATGTTTACAACATCCAATCCTTTTCAACATAATGACAATTCTCCGTTTCCATAAGCTGAGCTAGCTGTAGAGAAGTATTTCATCCTTGGCTGTTCCGGCATGCTCAGATAGCAACAGAAGCAAGACTCTTTGGGCTAGATTCACAAAAGGATTTAGAAAAAAGAACAGGAGTACTTGTGGCACCTTAGAGACTAACAAATTTATTTGAGCATAAACTTTCGTACAGCTCACTTCATCGGATGCATTTAGGTGTCCCAGAATTAGGCCTCCCTGGAATTCACAAAGGCCTGACTCAGCTGCCCCCAAAGTCTGCAAGCACCCATATTTTTGTAACTAAAGTTCCTTAAACACCATGGTTCTGGCTCTGAGCACACACACTGAAGCCCCACACCAGGCATCTGCATGCCTAAGCCCCAGATGGTGCAGTAACCAGGGGCAGATCAGCTCATCCACCTATCTTGCCTACACTGCCCAATCAAGTAAGCATGCTCAGAGCTCACCTACCAGATCAGGGCCCTGTGGAGGAGGACACCCTCCCTCTTAACTTTTAGCCCAGTGGTTCCCCACTTCACCTGAGGGAAACAGGGTTTGACCTAGCCTTTGCCTCCTCTCAGGAGGTGCTGTAACCACTGAGCTATGGGATATTCTGATGGGAATCTCCCTCAGCCTTTCCTCTTGAAGCTGTTCTACTTTGGCTAAATCATGAAAGAGCAATTGGAACAGGGGGCCTGGACCCCGGGTGTCCCAGGTGAGTCTTATAGCCAGTCAGCTACAGAGTCCTTCTCACACTTGCTTGCTCTCTCTCTCTCTCGCTTGCTTGCTGGCCCCATGATTCTTCCATTATCTATCCACAGTGGAACAGCTTCAACATCGGGACAGAACGAGCAAGTGGGAGAATGAGTCTATAGTCCAGTGATTAGCGCACTCACCTGGGAGGCCCAGGTTCCAGCCCCCTGCTGCAATGACTTTTTTTAATTAGTTATCCAAAGTGTCAACAGGAGAGCCTGGGGGAACCTCATGTCAGAATATCCCACTGCCCAGTGGCTAGTGCACTCACCTGTGAGGTACCAGTTCCTTGTTGAAATGACTTCTCCCTTCACATGGAGAGAGGACTTTAACTGGGGGGCAGGTGTCCCACATCCCAGGTGAGTACCCTAACCACTGGGCTGAAAGTTATGAGGGAGCTCCTGCTCTTCCTCCCACCCCTGCTTCTTGCTAAAATGGTGTAGTCGCTTAATGCCAAGAGAGGGTGTGCAGCTGAGAATGCTAAGCAGAGGGTGGTGCCTTCCTGCACCCCAGACTTGGGCACCTGTCTCTGAGAGAGGGCAGGACTTAGCACACACCTCGTGGCTTAGCATCGCCCAGTGGCTAGCTTACATGAGGAGCCACCTAGCATGCTGGCTGTTGTGAACCCCATTCATTGTATAGGGAGCCTCAATGCCAAACTCCGGCTTTGTGAATCCCAGTGATTTTCTAGGCACCTAAAAGTGTCACCACTCCTAAGTTTCTGTGCAAATCGCGCTTCTGGTGAGAAGAGTGTAACCTGCTCTTACAGATGCAGACCTTGCTACAGTTATCCATGCTTGTGTCTTCGCAAGGTTAGACCATTGTACTGTGGTCTACATGGGGCTACCCTTTATCATTCAAAACCTTAAATTAGTTCAGAATGCGACTCCCCACTTGTTGAGCAGCGCTTCAAGCTGAGAGAATGTTGCACTAGTGCGTCAGTGCCATTGTCCAGTGATGTGTAAGATGTTGGGTGTGGTTTATAAAGGGCTAAGTGGTTTAGGACCTAAATAGCTGAGATGCAGTCTCTATCCCCTCTACCACAGTTCCAGTCAGCTCACAGGGTTAGGACAGGGAATGGCAGCACATTTTCCAATAAGCTCTTTGACTCTGGAACCCACTCCTCTGGTTGGTCCAAAAGAACCTGCAAGCGTCATCTATTATCTTAGGCTTCTGTGGTGGGTTGGGTTAAGTAACATGGGGTGGGAAGGAGTGCACTGATTTTGTCATAGGCGCCAACTTACCGAGTTGCCGGGGGGAGCTTAACTCCCACTTTGCCCAGGCTTGGCCCCGCTCCACTTCTTCCTCCAAGCCCCCATCCCTGCCCCACCGCTTCCCGCCCCCCCGCTCCTGCCCTTTCCCCTGCCCCACCTCTTTCTGTTCCCTCCCCGGCCTCTTCCTGCCCCCGCTCTTCCCCCTCCCCCCCCAGCGCCTCCTCCATGCTGCGGAACAGCTGATTCACGGTGAGCAGGAGGGTTGGGTGGGAGGGGCAGGCTCTGACCCAAGGGCTAACAGTGAGTGCTGAGCAGTCACTGCTCCAGCCCCAGAGCATCCACAGAGTCGGTACCTATATATTTTAAATATCTGAAAAAAGAGCCCAGAGGGTTGGGATGGTGCAGGGAGTCTTTTTAAAACAAAATTGAAGAAAAATATTATTTGGACTGTGATAGGGCCCAAAAGGTGCTTCCCAGAGAGGACCACAATCCCCACTGAAGAGAATATCTTTGCTGCTCTTCATTCTTTACAATGTTACAAGCAATGTAAGGGTGCAGATAGCAGATGGCGTAATAAGGTTCAACCATTTTTGTGCAAATATCCCTCATCACTATTTAAGTCATATACCATATAAAATAGGATGGAGTCCCCCACCTCTCCCCCCCCCCACCATTTTGCCTCTCCTCATGCATCTAAGATTCTGATCTAGCAATTGGATTGGAGAGGGCAGGTCCTTTCGCCCACATGAAGCTCTTCTGAGGTCACCCTGAGATTGCAGGATCAGGCTCTAACTCTTGTATATACACCATTCTCTTCCACCCCTCTCACTGTGTACAGCATACAACACCAAACTAAACTCCTTTCCATCCACCTGATAACAGACGATTTACACCATGCCACATCACCCCTGAATTTGGTCCAGAGTTTTCCAGAATTGTGCTGTTCGTACTTGTTGTAGTAGCAAGGTACTAACAGACTGTTGTATCAACCAGGCAAGGTATTAATAAGCTTCAAAGGACTTTATTTTCAAAATGGAAACCTCTTTACCGAGCTGCTGCTGCACCCTCTGTAGCTTTCTCCCAGCCTTTCAACTCCTCCCCCATCCTTCCTGTTTCCTATCCTTTCAGAATCCCAACAGCCAGGGCTCCCAATTCTAATAACTACAAGCAACATCTAAACACCACAGTACTACAAAGCACCTGCTAGAAAAAGTTGTCCGTTTCAGACAACTATCCAGTACCAAGACAGGGGGCCAAATTCATTACTGTTGTAACTATTGTCTTCAATATCCACATGAGAAAACTTTGATCTGCAAACCACCAGATGAAAAGTAATCCACTGTATAAAATAATGCTATCATGAACTAAAGATTTTTCCTGTTTCAGTTTTTTTAAATTGTGTTTCTTTTATTTTAAAACACAGCTACCCAGCAGGCATCTCATTTCAGCCAGTATCTGAACTCGCAGTCCCAGCTTGCTGCTGACCCTCGTTCATTAAAAATCTAAATGTGTTTTCAAAAAGAGGCTAAGGAGTAAGAAGTGAACGTCACGGAGGGATATAAAAACTCAGAAGGAAATAAATTGGGGAGCTACTGCACGGTCATTTGGGCTAATACCTACCCACAATAATTATGGCTTCATCTACCAAAGGCAGCCAGCTCTAGGAACGCGTAATATTAAAAAGCTTTTCAGTAAATTTGGCAAGTACCTGTGTGGAGAATAAAGTATGTAACAGGCTTAGCTACCGAGAATACATTTGCTCACTGCTGTCTGCTTTATTTTTAGAGTTCTGTGTTATACCGAAGTACCAGTACAATTACATGATTTTATCCCCCAGAACACACCAAAAAGGAGATGTAGCTCCTCGGCCTATCCCAGTGAGCTGTGTTTTAAATAAACAAATAAATACTGACACAAAGCCAAGCTAAACCTGATTTCAGCGAAAATTAGGTGTGTAACTACCTCTGAGCATCTGGGCTTGATATCCTAAAATATATAGTCCTACTCTCAAAATCTCTTCTGCTGAGACATTGACAGGAATAAGATGAGCTAAATGTAAAATTAAAATTCAAGCTGTGTCAGACCAGCAGCTCTTCCGCTTTGAATGGCTGCTGTTCTTCCCTAAAAGCTGACTTTGGATTGCACTAACTGTCTTGACAATTCTTCCCACTTTATTTAACTACTAGTAGATATGGCAATATAAAATACAAGAGGAGAAACTTTTATTTTGTATTTGAAGTAGTCATTTTTAGTCTAGACACTTCACTACTTCTATCCTCCAAATTCTTGGTGAGAAAACTGCCTTAGAGGTGTTGTGACAATTGGGCCTTCACATTGACCCTAATTGTGAGTTCGGCTGTAAAAAATGAGTATAAGTTCATAAGATGTCACCATAACCTGTAAAATAAATGTTGATGGGACAAGATGCAAAAGTGTGACAGAAACACTGGATTAATCAAAATAAAATGACCTACTGATGTAATTCAAGGGCGGTGTTAAACTCCTGCTTGGTAAACAAGTAAAGTGTGGGACCAAAAATCAATGAACCAACATTGGTGTGTCATAAACTAGGCCTAATTGGTGGACATAGTACCACCATTCTCTTCGTAGGTCCTTAAAGAAATAGACTTTAAAGGGAGAAAAATTGGCTTTTGGAGCAAAGCTTCACCATCATGGCTGCCCCCCCCATCATCTTTGGGGTGCTTTGGGGCACTTAGCCTTTGTCCTCCTGATCCTCAGAGATGTCCGGGCCAGAGAGGGGGATCCAGATGACACTGTCACCTCTACTGGCTCCAGCTGAATCCTAAACACCATCTGGGATGAAACTGGATCAGACTTTAACAACAGCAGCAACACAACATCTCCAGCCCATCTCACCTAACTTCTTCTCTTTTCCCCAAAAGGACCATTATTACCATCTTTGATACCATCTAACAGGCACTCGCACATGGGGGGGTTTCCTTCTGAAAACTCTCTCGAGCTAACAGTGCAAAGGAACAAGGGATATTGTTAAAATTAGAGGTTTACTTAATACTTAACATTTCAAATGCTATCATTGTTTTCCTTCTTTTCTGTATCTTTAATAAAAGGTTAGAAGGATTTTTTAATGGTTTATTTGCCATGGGACAAAGTAGGTTGGGGTCTCTGTATGCCAAACCCCAGGCCTTGTTTAAGACTGTTTAATGTTAGACCATGACTGGATCATGTGAACACCATTGGCCCACATATTCCCCACCTAAATTAATACAACAGAGGCATATTCAGTTGCAATCACATTAGGAAAATGACATACCACAAAGATTGGATCATTGGCTGCAGCATGAGGGGAAGCGCTGGTTCCATTCAGGAAAGAGTGAACCAAGTTATGCAGGCTCACCACTGGGGAGACAGAAGATCCATCTGGTTTACCAAACCCTTCCAGGGCATTCCTGTGTGTGAGATAAGACAAGAGTTAAGTAACCACCTATTGACCAGCACTACCTCCAAATGTATGTATAAAAGGCTATCTTTCGGCTGAACATGTTATAGGAGTTGGGGCACAAACCTGAAGCTGAAATTAGAATTCCAGAAAAAAGGAGGACTATCAAACTCTTGAAGTGAAAGGCAGTTCTGGATATCTTCCATGGTTGGCAACTGCTCGCTAGACTTCCCTTGTGGGTTCCTCCGTAGAATCCCTTCATTAGTCCCATTACACAGTGTAACCAGATGGTTGTAGTCATCCAAGCTTAGATTAAAATCAAAATTGCATGGAACAATTAGAATAGGATGTTGGAGGGTGAGAGGGTTCACTCTGACAGAGTCAATAGACGCTGTACACTCAGTCCCCCACCAAAACCACTGGGACGGCTCACATCCCAGATGTTAAACACATTTGCAAGTGTTTGCAGGATCAGAGCCTCAGATGGCTTCAGAAGTTTTGTACCAGAAAAGCAAATGGTCATACTGCTAACCTGAGCTGGAATCATAAGGCTGCTTGTAAATTAATCATCTTTGAACTGGCTCCAACTTTCACATTTCCGCCTTTAAGAATCTCATGAAGGAGACTGATATGGATGTTAGCAAGTGGGTGCCACATCTGTCAACAGGATAATGTGGCTAGATAAATGTCAGTGGGTCCACTAATTTACTGTCAGTTATGCTTCCTTAGCTGACATGTAGCGTAGCTGCCCAACCAAAAACAATTACTGCTGACCCATGTCATAGCAGCTCCTCCTACACTTCCCCATCTGCTATTTGGCAGGGATGGAGAGAGTTATTGTAGCATAAGCGAGAGTCTTTACTGCTGCCACCCAGCACTTTGAGTTGGGAAGGAAATTATTCACCACTTTTTTCTTTGTTCACTGTTCAGCCCAAGCTTGGGACAGTCTGTGTGCTTGTTTCTCCCACACTGTACCCCACCTGCTGGCCCCATCAATGGATATGAGAATATTCTGCTCCCATTGAAGTCACTGGCAAAACTCCCATTCCTTTCAAAGGCAACGGAATTCCACGTGTGTGGATACCTGCACCTTCACAAAGCACCAAATACTTAATCTAAAACTGCAGTGGACACTAGGCAGGGGCAGGTGTCCGTCCACATGAAGTCAGATGCAGGATTGGGTCTTTCGCTAATATATGACAAAGAATTCTCTATGTACATCAGAAATGAGAACGCTATTACAAGCTGCCACAAGGATGTGGATAAGATTTAGAGGACGGTCTCTGATATTGTTTTGTTTGATGCATGTGTGATCATTTAATTAAAGACCATATTATACACATAGCAGTGTTATGGTCACATGTTCAACCTTATCTGTCTCATTTCCTGTCATTTGAGGTTTTAATGTATAGCTTTACCATTAAGTGTACATAAGTTTTTTGTATTTTGATTTCCTTGTTTTCTTCCCAAGAAGTTAAAAGGAAAATCCAGAGTTTTTAAGTCCCAGTAGATGAGCTTACAAGGCTCTCCCCTCTTGCAGAGTTCACAGATTTGCCCTGAGGAGGCTTTGTCTTCCACCTGCTATATGGCGGTTGAAGTTACAGCAGGGCTTTCATTATGGCTTGATTTTCAGTTGCTTAGATACATCTGCATATTTCATCATTTGGGCTGAAATATACCATGTTTTGCCTCAGGACAGAGGTGCATTTTTGGAAATCTGAGCACATGTCCATCCAGCCATTTGAGCTGTGGAAAAAAACAAGAAAGAATTTCCCCATTCTTTGTACTTTGCATTTATTTTTTCTTGCACAATTCAAAAACAGCTGAAACTTTCAGGCTGGCCAGGCCTCGCTGAGTCTTTGCAAAGAATTTAAAATAAAGAAGGCCCTATCTCTATTAAAGAAATTCACAGCAGCTTGACTATATAGACCGTAGTTACACTAGTGCAAACCCCTAATGCAGAAGCATTGGACTGTGCAAAGCAAGGCTTATGCTGATGCTGGTAATGTACCAAAGTCAACTGCACTGATATAAGCCCTGCTTTGCACTGGTGCAGCATGTAAACATCAGGGGTTTCCACCAGTGTAACTACATGTTTACACTGGCACAAATTTCCTTAAAGTAGACACGGTCTCACTTGGAACCCTTGGCCCAGAGCAATGCAGTAAGGATGGTGGTGGGCTGTGGCAATGCAGGGACTGGCTGATGGCTAAGCAGTTATTCAGTGTTCCAGACCTTACCCTTTTTAGGGGGAGAGAGAGAGATGGAATATGAACAGCATTGCATCCTATTTTGTCAGGCATGCTTTTATCATAGAATCATAGAATATCAGGGTTGGAAGGGACCTCAGGAGGTCATCTAGTCCAACCCCCTGCTCAAAGCAGGACCAATCCCCAATTAAATCGTCCCAGCCAGGGCTTTGTCAAGCCTGACCTTAAAAACTTCTAAGGAAAGAGATTCTACCACCTCCCTAGGTAATGCATTCCAGTGTTTCACCACCCTCCAGTGAAAAAGTTTTTCCTAATATCCAACCTAAACCTCCCCCACTGCAACTTGAGACCATTACTCCTTGTCCTGTCATCTTCTACCACTGAGAATAGTCTAGAACCATCCACTTTGGAACCACCTCTCAGGTAGTTGAAAGCAGCTATCAAATCCCCCCTCATTCTTCTCTTCTGCAGACTAAACAATCCCAGTTCCCTCAGCCTCTCCTCATAAGTCATGTGTTCCAGACCCCTAATCATTTTTGTTGCCCTTCACTGGACTCTCTCCAATTTATCCACATCCTTCTTGTAGTGTGGGGCCCAAAACTGGACACAGTACTCCAGATGAGGCCTCACCAATGTTGAACAGGGGAAATGATCAGGTCCCTCGATCTGCTGGCTATGCCCCTACTTATACATCCCAAAATGCCATTGGCCTTCTTGGCAACAAGGGCACACTGTTGACTCATATCCAGTTTCTCGTCCACTGTCACCCCTAGGTCCTTTTCTGCAGAACTGCTGCCTAGCCATTCGGTCCCTAGTCTGTCGCGGTGCATTGGATTCTTCCGTCCTAAGTGCAGGACCCTGCACTTATCCTTGTTGAACCTCATCAGATTTCTTTTGGCCCAATCCTCCAATTTGTCTAGGTCCCTCTGTATCCTATCCCTACCTGCACCATATCTACCACTCCTCCTAGTTTAGTATCATCCGCAAATTTGCTGAGAGTGCAATCCACACCATCCTCCAGATCATTTATGAAGATATTGAACAAAACCGGCCCCAGGACCGACCCTTGGGGCACTCCACTTGATACCGGCTACCATCTAGACATGGAGCCATTGATCACTACCCGTTGAGCCCGACAATCTAGCCAACTTTCTACCCACCTTATAGTGCATTCATCCAGCCCATGCTTCTTTAACTTGCTGACAAGAATACTGTGGGAGACCATGTCAAAAGCTTTGCTAAAGTCAAGAAACAATACATCCACTGCTTTCCCTTCATCCACAGAACCAGTAATCTCATCATAGAAGGCGATTAGATTAGTCAGGCATGACCTTCCCTTGGTGAATCCATGCTGACTGTTCCTGATCACTTTCCTCTCGTGTAAGTGCTTCAGGATTGATTCCTTGAGGACCTGCTCCACGATTTTTCCGGGGACTGAGGTGAGGCTGACTGGCCTGTAGTTCCCAGGATCCTCCTTCTTCCCTTTTTTAAAGATGGGCACTACATTAGCCTTTTTCCAGTCGTCCGGGACTTCCCCTGATCGCCATGAGTTTTCAAAGATAATGGCCAATGGCTCTGCAATCACAGCTGCCAACTCCTTTAGCACTCTCGGATGCAGTGCATCCGGCCCCATGGACTTGTGCACGTCCAGCTTTTCTAAATAGTCCCTAACCACTTCTTTCTCCACAGAGAGCTGGCCACCTACTCCCCATGCTGTGTTGCCCAGCGCAGCAGCCTGGGAACTGACCTTGTTCGTGAAGACAGAGGCAAAAAAAGCATTGAGTACATTAGCTTTTTTCACATTCTCTGTCACTAGGTTGCCTCCCTCATTCAGTAAGGGGCCCACACTTTCCTTGGCTTTCTTCTTGTTGTTAACATACCTGAAGAAACCCTTCTTGTTACTCTTAACATCTCTTGCTAGCTGCAGCTCCAGGTGCGATTTGGCCCTCCTGATCTCATTCCTACATGCCCGAGCAGCATTTTTATACTCTTCCCTGGTCATTTGTCCAATCTTCCACTTTTTGTAAGCTTCTTTTTTATGTTTAAGATCCGAAAGGTATTCACTAGCATCATATGTTGTTTGTATATCAATTAGTGTGAGGAGTCCTGTAACACCCGGGATAGAAGTGGTGAACAGACTCATAGACTTTAGGGCCAGAAGGGACCATCGTGATCATCTAGTCTGACCTCCTGCACATTGCAGGCCACAGAACCTGCAATAGACCCTTAACCTCTGGTTGAGTTACTGAAGTCCTCAAATCATGGTTTAAAGACTTCAAGTTATAGAGAATTCACAATTTACACTAGCTTAAACCTGCAAGTGACCCATGCCCCATGGGAGATGTGAAGCGAAGCACAAGAATCATATGACAGTTGCAAAGACTCCAGAAGCTTCAGTTTAATTTTAAATTAAAATGCATATTCACAGACTACTGAAATGAAACAGTAAAAATCCCTCTCCTGTAACATTGGTGAAGGAAGCATTTACAAATTTCAGGGTTCAAGTCAAAAACCCATATTATTCTTCATGTTACTGACAAGAAGAGGGTAGCAGCTATATGAAAAGGCCAAGATTTTCAAAAAATCAGTGCCTAAAATGAGGCTTTGGAGTAGATATTTAGATACTCATATACGTGGCCTGATTTCTAAAAGTGCTGACCCAGGTACGCCGGAACGAGGGGGCCAAGGGACCATAGCCCTTCCACTTTTTGCCACGGGCCTGTCCCTCTGCCCCTCGTCTTCCCCCCCAAAGCCCCGCTCCCTGGCCTGGCCAGAAGCTGGAGCCCGGCCTGGCTAAGTGTGGTCCAGGGAGCCCAGGCAGCTCTGGGGAACTGTGGATCTTCCACCTGCTTGGAATGGGGGGTCTGAGATCAATCCCTGGCCCATGTCCCTGCCCCCCAGGTCCCCTGCCCAGGGCAGATGGAGGGTATGCAGCTCCCCACAGCTATCCAAGTGACTCTTCAACCTCCAAGGCCCTGCCTCCTGGCCAGGCCAGAAGCCGGAGTCAGGTAAGAGCCGAATGGGCAGCGTTGGGCAGGTGGAGGGGCCCAGGCTCCCAGCCCAGCTCCTGCTTCCAACTCAGCCATGAGGGGAGGCTGCAGGGGGCAGAGAAGGGGCTGGGGGCAGGGCCACAGTGGGGGGGCCTCATGGCAATCCCACTTTTAGAAAGAATCTGTCACCCCTGTGCTGAGCAGCTCCCAAGGCCTTCATGCCACTCCAAGCTTGGATGAAAAGTGCTACAGGAGTATTATATTTTGCTGTGTTACTGAATGTCCACTTGTACATCTTAAGGTCCCAATCCTGCATTTGAATCCACAGTCGAATCCCTGCACTCACACAAAGCCCCACTGACTCCAATTGGGAAATGCCTAACTATAGTCAGTTGCAGGATCAGGGCCTTATTTTGCAAGAAACCAGTTCAATCTCATTTTAAAAAACTATTTCTAAATCTGAGGTGACATCCTGGCATCATTGACGTCAATGCAAAAATTCCCCCTGATTGCAATAGGGCTAGAATCTCACTTCTGGTATTTTCCAGTCCAACAGAAGAGGCATAGATTTTTCAGTCTAATATGAGCTCACTATTAAACACACAGAAAAATTCCTATTGACAAAATTTTTCAAGGGCTCTTGGTTGGCAATTACTGTCTTTAAGTAAAGTCCTGAATCAAATTTAAAAAAAAACAGTATAAAAAAGCAGAATATATCTGAGGAAATCTTGAATGACATCCACCTAGAGCCCATCCACTAAGTTTCACAATTTTTACAAGGAAATCTAGGTTCTTTTTCTTGCAGTTTGGGCAAGTTGAAAGAGAAGTTCATGCTGTTAGTGGCTAATGAAAACAAGTGTTAGTTAGAATGCTGGTTTCCCCACACATTCTATTACCTATTGCACACTATTGCCCAGTGTGAGAACCTTGAATTCTGACTTATTAGGCTTGGATCTTCTGGTCTTGATGCTCCAAAAAGCTGATCTGTACACACATCGCACTCATTTCTACCTGTGGCAAAATTCCAATAGGGCAATGCAAAGGATTCATTGCCAATCAGTCGCTATAATAAAAAGAAACTTATTAGCAAGAAATAATTCTTTAAAAACAGAAAGAGACGTTACTAATACCTGGCTCGTCTATATTTTGATATTTGAAACCACGCTGCAGTTTTCTCAGAATACCGTTTCAACTTCCTTCAGGCTATTAGGTCACTGATTCAAATCTAAGGAAGGCCGGCAGTTACCTTAACTAAACACTGTACCATCTGATGGCCTCGTATGTTAAGTGGTTCCTAGTTCTGATTTCTACTGAAAGTGCTGATGGCCCAAAAAGTGGTGATTCTGACATTCTTGGGAGTCAGCAAAGAGACCAAGGGCACAGAGTGGCCCAGCATGACGACAGAAATAACCGGAATAAATACAGAGGCTGAACCACCTTCTCTCCCCTAGAGTTGGACACTTCCGATGAAGTCTGAGGCATGCTGGCTATGTAAAAAAAAGTATATTGCACCTGCTTTTGTAATAATTGTTCTTTTCTTTTTTTTTAAAGGAGGGCGGGGGGCAGGGGATAGAAGACCGGAGTCTTCAAACCAATCAGCACCTCCTGAGTGCTAAATTCACTTTTAAAACAGGGTTAATTTCATTGTCTAGGGACTGTAGCCCCAACATGCAGTTATGCCAGGGAACTCTGTGTTAGTGAAATAGAGATTCAAAGTAATATGGGAAAATCACAATAGTAAGAGCCATGCAAGCATCCTTGAATAGGACGCGTTGCTAACCTGGAGATCTCTTTCCAGCAGCAGCAAATGGTACCTATGCCAAGTAACAAAGGCAGGTCCTTGGTGGGAGAAATCTATAGTGGTGAATGGGCGGCCAGGTCCTACAAACAGGAAGGCACAGTAAGAACTAGAGCATCCAATTAAAGTTAAATAGACAAAGAGTACTTTACATAACTTCCTTTATGAGTTTAAAGCTTCATGAAATGGAATTCATGCTAGAATGGTATCCATCAGAAATATAAACATTTTAAAAGAGTTGGTGAGAATTTTTTTAAATTTTGAAAATGATTAAAATGTTCACATTCCAAAAAAGGGGGGGCATTTAGACAACATTTTGCACATTTTTCCAATGTTTGACCAGCTAGAATTTGAAATGAAGCCCTTCATTAATCTTCATTGTGTTGTAAATCATAGTTATTGTCTTGTATGTACAACATGGTATCACTATGTTATTCAATGGTAACATAGTGCAGCTTCGCGCAGCACCCATTGGCCAGGAACGGCGAACCGCAGCCACTGGGAGCTGCGGGTGGCCGTGCAAATGTAAACAAACTGTCTGGCAGCCCACCAGCAGATTACCCTGACGGGCCACGTGTGGCCCGCGCACAGGCGCCAACTTCTACTGGTGCCAGTTAGTGCTCGAACCCCCTCTGCTCCCTGCCCCGCCCCCTCCCAACCCCCATTCCAACCCTTCCCCAAAGTCCCCATCCCAACTCTGCCTCCTCCTGCCCCCATTCCAACTCCTTCCCCAAATCTCCGTCATAGCCCTTCCTCTTCCCCGCCTCCTCCCCTGAGCACGCCACGTTCCCGCTTCTCCCCTGTCCCTCCCGAAGCCTGTTTGGCGGTGGCAAGCGCTGGGAGGTAGGTGGAGGAGTGGAAACACAGTGCACTCAGGGGAGGAAGCGGAGGAGGAGGTGAGGTGAGGTGGGGCAGGGATCTTGGCTGCCGGTGGGTGGAAAGGACACACTAATTTTTCCCCATGGGTACTCCAGCCCTGGAGCACCCACAGAGTCGGCGACTATGGGCCCGCGGTCCGCAGGTTGCCCACCACTGGTCTAGAGCCTCCAAAATGTTTAGGCGCCTAACTCCAACTGAAATTAATTAAGCCAATGGGAGTTAGATGCCTAAATACCTATGAGGATTGGGAACTAAGTGACTTACACAAAATCACAGAGGAAATCTATGCCAGAGAAGGACTTGAATCCAGATTTCAGACTAGCACCCTAACCGCTGGACCATCCTTCCTTTCACCATGACTTGATCACTTTTCAACTTACTTACCTTTGTTCAATTATTACATTTTTACCACGTTCTTTACATTCTAGATGCCTTAGTAAAGAAAAGTACCAACCTAATAGGGTGTCCCTGACTGAGTAGTAATGAAGCCACACAAAGTAGTTGTAAATGCTACAGTTTGTAACTTGCGGTTCAGTTCCATTGGGCCCAAGGAGACTCAGCCAGTGCTGTGTAGCAATTACATAGTCTGGGTGAGTGGTATTCTTTGCACGGTCTAAAGCATCTAAGAACTGCTCTCTCTCTGCCGCAGTCAAGGCATGGACATTTTTCCGGACAAGAAGTGGCTTCCTTTCATCGCAGTTGGGGCCAGTCCAGCCAAACTTGCACTCACCACAGTTATAGCCAGCAAAGTTTCCTGTGTTAAGAGAGAGTGTGGGTTTAGGTATATTACTCAGTGCACAAAAGAAACTGAGACTGAAATGCAAAGAAATTGAGTTTGTTAGTCTGTCTTTTCCCTAGCGATTTCTATTCTGGTTCAGCAGCTGAGAATATTGGCAGCTTTGTCAATTGCTTAACTAAAATGATGGCTTATTTCCCAGTAACACGGCAGGGCCAAGATTCGTAGAAGGCTGGTTATCAAGATAAAGAGCCAGATAAAGGGCTGGATCCTGCAAACTAAGAACTCTGGCCCTGATCCAGCAAAGCATTTAAATATGCCCATAGTCTCATTGAACTTAATAGGACTACTCACCTGCCTAGGTTAAGCAGATAATAAAGTGCTTTGCTAGACTGGGCCCAGAGTACTCAGCATTATACAGGACCACGCACAAAAACATGATGTCTGACAAAGACTCCTGCTCTTTAAGCATATGTTAAAAATAACAAACTGCAGGGCTGCTGCTGGTGGCCCACTGAGGTATCATTAAATGGTGCAGTGATACTATGTAAAAGTATGAAAAATTGTATTGTACTATGTGTGCAGGTCTTTTCTCACCCCATTGCCTTATGTCTAACACAGGCAGGCATCCCTCTGTTGACAAGTACTTTCTGTGCTGTCTGCTCAGGTTTTTACAGTATTATGAAGAGCTCTGGAATACATGGTCTCCGGAAGCACAGGAATCCCATTGGCTCAGTTTTAGCACTGTCACATAGTATAGAGCCAAATAACCTTATAACAACAAAGTGCAAATTTATTCTACAACTACTTCGTAAGAGCTTTTAGGATCGCCACTGGGCAATCCTGTCAGTTACTAAGCTTTATTAAATACTTTTAGAATTACTTAAATGGGATTTAAATCTTCTTCTGTTTTCCCAGCCTGAATATCAATTGTACTTCCACAGGTTAATGTCAAAATTATTCTTTCCACCAAATGAACTAGCCCATCTGCTTTTCTTTGAAAACTGTAATGGTAAAATAATGTGATTAATTTCAGACCTGGATTGAATTTTACCGTGTTGTACTCAGGGGTTCAGCACACATTCAAAATACAGAAATTTAACTTAGAAAATTGAAAAAGAGGCAAGAGTAATGAATGCTGATAACTCCTTATAGCTTTTCAGTGAATTTAAGTACTTCCTTACCCAACCACTGTCACGATCCATGCCAGAAATTGCTGTGATCGCTTAACAATAATCCCTTGTAGCGGGTAAACAATCATATACCAAATTCTGCTGTCAATTACTTCAGCTTTATGCTTCTGTAGCTGAGATCAGAATCTAGCCCAAATACAAAACCCTTGTAATTTGAATTGAAGTGTAAGTGTAATTAGTGTCAATTGCCAATTTACAGGGGCCACATACTAATGCATCCATTCATAAATCATGCGTGCAAAGTGCTTTGTCTAATTCAAAACACACAGCTTATTCAAATAAGAATGAGCTTCTTTCCCCCCTCTGGTATGGAGGAACTGTCTCAAGAATTGCATTCACTCCTTTTCATTTTAAGAATTTGCAAAAGCTGAGTTGAACATTAGGTACAGTAGTGCACTTAAATGAATTGGAAAAAGCATGCAACAGATTCAAAGTTTACATCTGAAAAGAACTAATGTTTGTATGTTATCTTTCAGTTTGACTTATGCCAAAATATACTTGACATCCATTTTAAAGAGTTGATATTTTTGCATCTACCAGCATATTAAGTCAATCCTTTACGGAAAGCAAGGTTGTGAAAGCAGCTTTACAATGGGTTCTTTGACCACAATTCTCTTTGGAAAGAAGGGGGAAAGGAATCGGGTTTCACTGATCACAGTTTAGTATCACATTAAACAAAGAAGAACTAAAGCATTATATCTGCTTAGGACTAAAAAGAGGAAAGAAAAATATGAGTAAGTAAAGTGCATGATTCAACAAAAAAAACAAAGTCAAACTTCAGAAAACTATTAGATTACTTAGCCTGGGCCCCTTAAAACCAATGACTAGTGTTTCTCAGAAGTGCTCAGCACCCAAAACTGTTATACTTTCAAAAGAGTTCAACTCCCCAATAGGCAACTAAAAGATGTGGCCAAATTTCCAAAAGTGGGAGCCATTGGGTACTCAGCAATTAGTAAAATCAAGCAATTTATCTGGATACTTAAGGGCTTGTCTACACTGTGGAGCAAAGCACACCAGAAGGGTGTACACTGTATAGTGGTCTAAAGTGCTGCACTCTAATTGACCCACGTAGATCTTGCAGATGCACTCTAAAAGTATCGAGTACATATTGCTGTAGTTCCATTTGAAACAGTACTACATTAATGCGCACTAGGATTCTTTTACTGTGTCAGCAGCAGGGTCTACACAGAGCAGTCAGAGCACAACACTTTAGAGAGCTCTACAATGTACATCACGCTAGCATGGGTTGCAGACAAGACCTTTCTCTGGATATTGAAAATCTTGGCCACTGCCTCTTAGAGAATCCTTCTCCAGTGTTGCTTACAAATTGCCACTAATGATGTGCTGTGCCTAACGGGCATATTCTACCCCATCTACACAGCAAGTGGAGTTACACCCTAGCTATCTAAGAGACTTGATGAAGACAACACAAAATGGTTGCCCACCAGTAATGTTCAAACTTGGACACTCAGCAACTGGACCAATTTGCAGAATGAAAGAAAAGCAGGTACACAACAACCAACAATCACTGTGTGGAAACTATTAAAACCAATCCGACTCCTGATTCAGCACAGACCTTTTAACATTCCCCTGGAAGTGCCCCTGCATTCAGTATCAATCTGGTTGAATCAATAGAGTCCAAATGATTTCTCTCAAAGTCATCTCTTGAGTAGCAAATGTTGCTCCTTTATTTACAGAATGGAAACTGTAAAGAGGAGGAATATAAAGGAACCCAAGATAAAAGAGAGGAAAAATAGTGTGGTAATGAAGGCAAAGAAAAGCTGGATGGAAAAGATGTGAGGAAAATGACTGCTCCAAAGAAAGAACAAAGGATTAAACAATGTCAAGTTCAAGTCAGCTATCTTAGGACCCAAACCTGCAAACACTTACTCATATGCTTAACTTTACTTCCATAAGTAGTCCAATATCAACTAGATTTGACTTCAATGGGGCTTCTCATATGAGTAATGTTAAGCATATGAGTAGGATTGGGGACTTGATTCCTTAAACTTTAAAGCATCAGGTTTTGAATATTTAAATTCTTTAGAATTAAAGGTTTCAATCAACTTAGATATTCTACCACAGCTAGCATGACCAGACAGCAAGTGTGAACAATCGGGACTCTTTTTTCAGGGAGGTATAATTGCTTATATAAGACAAAGCCTGTAATATCGGGATGTCTGGTAATGCTAACCAGAGCAGATAAATCATTATATAGAGGACTTTTGCATGAGAGCTTAGAAAACAAGAGCCTCTCTGTTCTGCAAGCACACTTAAAATCCCATGGTACTTGCAATAAGAGTACAGATTGGTAAAGCAATTCTTGGCCAGAATTCTCTCTCTCTCTCTCACACACACACACACACACAGACAAACACACACAGTCTCTCACATTTGCCCATGTGCGTCCCCCACATTGAATATAATTAAGCATGCTGTGCACCAGGGCCCTGATCCAGGAAAGCCTGACTGTACAGAAAAGTATTTAAGCACTTGCTTAAACTCAAACACATGCCCAGGTACTTTCCTGAATCAGGATCCAGATGGCTACCTGTGACACCTGCATTTAGTTTGCTAAGCATTTGGGGATCTTTCAAAATAAAAAGAGAGATAGTAATGCAATTTATTATTATTATTTTATGTTATTATTTGTAAAGTGTTTTGAAAATATGAAATGCTGGATTGATATTATCAGTCTAGCCAAAGACCGAGAGACAAAAACTGATTTATACTAGGGTGACCAGATGACAAGAACAAAATATTGGGACACATGGGGGGGGCAGCCACAGGCTCACGCCCCACCAAGGCCGGCTCTAGGTTTTTTGCTGCCCCAAGGCAAAAAAAAAAAAAAAAGCCGGAGTGCCGCCAAAGCAAAATATCGGGACAAATGGTGTCCCAATCGTGCATTGGTTGGGACGCGGGACAAACAACTAAATATCAGGACAGTCCTGATTTTATCAGGACGTCTGGTCACCCTAATTTATACCGGTAAGCCTTCTATTATTTTAGACAGGGCTGGTAGCACTACCTATTATTAAGTTTGCTCAACACTTCCCATTACCAGACCCTGTTTTCAGTTGCTTATAACTTTGTGAAACTTCAACTGTTTGGACTGAAATTTTCCATGCCAGATGTTTGCCTCAGGCTGAATTTTATTTTTATTTTTTGAAAAATATTCAAACAAAATGCTTCAGTCTTGAATGAGAATGAGGGTAGGCTAGGGGAAATGTATTGCTCATGTTAAAAAATTTTGCCACCCTTTTTTTTTTGGACAGCTCTAGCACCCTCATGCTTTGGAGCAGGGACCTGAAATTTGGCAGGGGAATGACCTTTATGTCATGGATGTGCCTTTTGGCTTCCCCATGAAAAACTGCCCAAATTTGGTCAAGTTATAAGCCTTTGAAAAATGGCAGTTGGCACATGCTCTTTGATTTTTGGCAGTTAAATCGCCAAAGATTCCATCATTGCTGAGCATGTGCTCAGAGCTCCTAGTGCCAACCAGACTGCATGTGCCATCCCCACATAGTGACTGAGCTCCAGTCTAGAGTTACAGGGGCAAAGCTGGACTTTCCTTGTAATGGCTGCTCCAAACTATTGCAGACCAGAGAGTGGCTGTGGACCAAAACTGAAATCATGGGGCCTGTCTCTCTTGTGCTCTCAGTGTCCTCCCCCGCCAGTGCGAAAGCAGTGTAGAGAAGAAAGCTGTCTGATTCAAATGCAGAGGGGACAAAAGCTGGACTGGGTGAGAAGGAAAGCAGTAGATTGGTACAAGGAGTCTGGTGAGACTGGAACTATTTGGACAAGGAGACTGGGTCTCGGGGTGGGGAGTGGAAACTTAGACTGGTTGGGCAAGGAAACTGGGAGAGAGACGGGGCCAGTGAGGAAAACAGTGGGGAACTGGGAGCCAAATGGCTTGGAGGGAGAATACTGAGAATGGGTAGGAGCTGGATGGAAGGGAAAGACTGGGAGTGGTTGGACAAGGAGATTGGGAACCAGTGCATAATATCCTACCTAACAAACCAGATTTCAGACCAATTCTCCACTTTGCATGGGGGTGCATAGAGGGGGGACAAGACAGATTTGTGAGAGTTATGGTACAATGGGAGAACTTGAACAAAGAGACTGAAACAAGGAGCTAGGAAGGGGAATGAACAGTGAGAATGGATGAGGAGTCTAGAGAGTCTGACTGAGACTAGGAGCCAGTTTGGAGCGGGGAAAGACAGGTTGGATGAGGAGCTATGAGAAAAGAACTGGGACTGGCTGGGTAAGGAGACTGGGCAGCAGGAGTCAAGCTTCGGGGGAAAAGGTGGAAGTGTCTGTGCTCACGAAAGAACACTCTCCTATATAGCCTAAAGTGGATCCCAAGATTCCAGAATCTCACCGTTCCTCAGCTGTCAGCAAATATCTGTGAAACCCACTGGCATAGTGAGTTTCTCATCACCCTCTAGTGCTGTCCTCATAGAGGATGACAAGCTACAACTGCTATAAATTACTCTGTTAGCTCAAGTGGCAGAGGTTGAGCAGTGGCTCTACAGGTTCTCCTCCTGCTGGTGACCCATGTGGGGTTTTCATATGATAGAATTCCTTTTTTTTCCAGTTTTTTGTTTTAATACATAGAAAATTACACACACACATCTACATTAAAAGAACATTATTAAGGTTGCAAAGTCAAACACTCCAAAGTTAGGAAATGCCAGAGTTAAGGTGGCCTGTGCATATGAATTATGATACAGACTTTATAAACATGATGACACACTATTTTTTCCATAGTACCCCTGCTTGGTTCAGTGTGCAGGATGGACCGGCTCTGGGGAAGGAGCAGGGTTGTGTCATTTGTAGGACCTCTGTCTCATTTGTTTCAGAAGGTGGAAGGTGTGCAGTGAATGAGGCAGGGAACCAAAAAAAAAAAAAAGAGAGAGAGAAAGAACAAGCTCATGGTTAAGGCAGTTGAACGCTGTACTGGAGAACTGGAGTCTATCCCTGTCTCTGTCACAGAGTTTCTCGGTAATGCTGGGCAAGTCTGAAACCAAACAGTTCACAGATGGTCACTAACTGTGTATTCCATTTTCTGAATGCCTGAGATGAGACTCTAGGGTGTGATTTGCAGGAGCACTGAGCACTGACGGCTCCAACTGAAGTCAGTGGGAGCTATGCTTTGAAAATATAAAGTGCTACATAATGCAAATACTCTGAATAATCAGGACCCAATTATCTCAAACTGGGCACCCAAACTTAGTAGATACTTTTAACCTTAATCTCTTTGGCCTGGCTCCGCCAAGGAGCCAGAGAAAGAATGACTCTGTAGCCTGGTGGTTAGGGTACTCGCTTAAGAGGGAGACCTGGGGCCAATCTCCCTGCTCCAATAACTTGTTAATCATTTTTCTACAGTGGAACAACTTCACCAGGAGATAATGAGAGACCCAAACATCAGAAGCTCCCATAGTTCAGTGATTAAAGAACTCTCCTGGGAGGTGGGTTACCCCTCTTCAAAGCTTTTCTCCTCATTAGCCACAGGGGGAATTGAACCTTGGTCTCCCACATCCTGGGCAAGGAGTCTAACCACTGAGCTAAAAGTTATGGGGGGGAAGGAACACCCCCACCACGGGCTGGATTTTGAATGGAACCTGGTCCAGTAGGCAGCCTCTGAGCATACCTACCACATTGAGCCCCATAGGTAAGATAGGTTTCAGAGTAACAGCCGTGTTAGTCTGTATCCGCAAAAAGAAAAGGAGTACTTGTGGCACCTTAGAGACTAACCAATTTATTTGAGCATAAGCTTTCGTGAGCTACAGCGCACTCCCCACTGTTTATGGACTTCACTGGGACTCAGGTGGGAAACAGGCATCCACATGCAAGTGAGGCAGCAGTGCACGTGCTCCCAAGGAACTTCAACAGTAGAAATTTAGTGGACAAGTGAGGTGAGGCAGCAACTGAGCAGGGGTTTTGTGGATCACAGCAAAGCCACAAAGGCATAGGTGCCTAAGTACCTTTGTGGATCTGGGCTTCAGTTCCCCATCTGTAAAATAGGGATGATACCACCCCCACACCTCACAGGGGTGCTAGGAAGAAACCTTAATTAATGTATATGAAGCACTCAGGTACTCCAGTGATGAGTGCCACAGACAGGCCCATGAAGAAAGTACTAATTCTGTCTTCAGTGCAGGCTTTGAATAATGTATAGTAAATAAGGCCGAGGACCATACATTGAACAACAAGGATAAACCAACATATTGCCAGCTTCTCATTCAGTGAGCACTGTCTATCCTGTGCACTGAATGACGCAGGGGTCCTGTGGAAAGATTAGTATGTGATCATGTAATTAAAGACTGAAACATAATGCATACTCACAAGATAAGGTTGGGTGGGGTGGTGGGCCAAATTAAGCTTGCACAGGCAAACTTAATTCTGGCACTTTCCTAACTTCTGAGTGTCTGACTTTTCAACCTTAATAGTGTTCTGTTAACATTATCTTTTATACATAGTTCTATATAATAGCATAGAAAAAAGACAAGAGTTCACGACCAAATGCTCCAGTCTTCTAAAAGCTTATGCATGCACATACAGTTAGTTATGCACATGCATATGTGTTTGCAGGATTAAGGCTTAATTCTGCAGTCCTTAGGTGAATCATCCTGTGAAGTCAGCGTGCTATAGGATATTGAGGACTTGATGTTCATATAGCGTACCCAGGACTTGAAGTCAATGGGACGGCTTATCTAAGGTTCTGTCCGCACTGCAAATTCAACTGCATTGGAGGCTGCTCCAATTCAGTTTTCTTTCTGCAAAGTTAAACCACTGTTCCATTTTTCAGCATTGATGGGACTCGGTTATCTTGTAAGCATTGTATTAAACCCCTGAATGTTTCCAAATTTTTACCACTATTATTAAAGCACGACTAAGTCCTGTTGGCTTTAACACAATTCTTAACATTAGGTCCTGTCAGCACTGCAAAGCAGGACTAAGTTTACCAGTTGGGATCCCTGACATCCATGAAATTTTCAGGACACACACTGCAAAATATTACCCTGGCAGTAATTAATCCCAACTCAACATGTGCTGACACAGGTGTACAGCTTCATCCATATACATTTCTACAGTCACAAACCCTGTCTATCCTACCTAACAAACCAGATTTAAATATGGGGAGAGGGGGAATGGAACAGCCTTATGGCCGGACCATGTAACAATAATGGGGGAGGGGATTCCTGACCTGTGAATACAGGGGGAAAAAACAAAATTTAAGCATGAGAGAGAACCATGCTCTAACCCCGTTTGGTGTCTAGGCCAGCTCATGTTCCTCTTTCACTGGTAGAGTATGGCTTGGCCATATTTGTAGTGCAACTGGGAGGGATCACCCTTCCTGATCCCTTTTCCACAATCAGGGATTTGCTCTTCTCTGGAGCAGAGTTAGTCCTCCTCTCACCTGTGCACTGGCAGCTCTGATTGAAGAACTTCAGGGGCCATCGTTCCCGGTCATCCACGTTGCGGAGGGTGTACGGGCCGCGCCATGGCCTGGTGTCCACCTGCACCTCCCTGCACGATCCCCTGCCCTGCTGGGAGCCACACGCATTGCCTGGCTCTTGCCCCAAGGTTGGGCAGCAGCGCTTGGCCAGCAGCGCCTCTACCGTCATGCAGACGCGGGGGAACTGCGCCTCAGCCTGCGGAGCGCAGCAGCAGCTCAGGTAGCCCAGGAGAGCAGATGAGAGCCATGTCACCCACTGGAGCTGGGAGGTCATTGCTGCAGGGACCACGCGCTGTGCCAGGTTTGGCTTCTAGCAATCAAGGACAGGAGCGAAGGTGTTTCATGAACAGCCTCTGGACAAGAGGAGGACCGCACTTTTTCTCAGATTCTCAGCAGACTGGGCTCTGACTGACTGAGATAATTTCCCTCACTGCTTATGATGTTGGCATTTGGGGTGTTTGTTTAATCCTTGACTCGAACTGCCTTGAATATGGTTCAAAAGGCCTTTGCTCTGCGGTGCGTGCCAAGATTTGGAGGATTTATATGGAGGGTGGGAGAAGCCCTCATTAGGAGGATTAGCACTGCCTAAATCCTCGTGTTTAGCACATGACTTCAAGGGTGAAAAGAGGCTGATGGGGGGGGGGGGGAAGTCCTGAGGGGCTTTGGATGTCTGTGAAGGAGGCACATTCTTAGATTTACTTCTCTGTGTCTTGTCTGTCTTGCCTGCTTTGCCAAACTGCTGACCTCAGATTGTGCCTGGGATGGTTGGGAAAACAGGACTTTTTTGTTTGTCCATTGTTTTTTAAATCAAAACCCTTTAAACATATTAGAAGTGAAACAACCTTCTGGATTTTTAAACGTATTCACTGGCAGGTGGTGGCATCTTCAATGAAGCATCAGTTTGGAGACTTGGAGGCAAAGAAAAATGAAGCAGATACAGACACTTACCATACAGTTGCAAAATTAACAAAAAATAACAAAACCACTCCTAACAGCTTGAGCAAAGGACTGTATCCTGTTGATAATGACTAAAGTATCCAGGGCTTGAATTATAAATACAGTAGAACATCAGAATTATGAACACCTCGGGAAAGGAGGTTATTCGTAACTCTGAAATGATCGTAACTTTGAACAAAACGTTGTGGTTGTTCTTTCAAAAGTTTACAACCGAACATTGACTTAATACAGCTTTGAAACTTTACTCTGCAGAAATAAAATGCTGCTTTTAACTTCTTAATTTAAATGATACAAGCACAGAAACAGTTTCCTTGCCTTGTCATATCTTTTTTTTTTTACTTTTTTTTTGTAGTTTTCATTTAACGCAGTACTGTGCTGAACATTATTTGCTTTTTTTGCTTTTTTTTTTCTGTCTCTGCTGCCTGATTGCATACTCCCAGTTCCAAATGACGTGTGTGGTTGACTGGTCAGTTTGTATCTCTGGTGTTCGTAACTCTGAGGTTCTACTGTATTTAAGTGGGGAATGGAGAAGGCCTCCCTGTTTCCTCTATCCTCTTCACAGAAATATTGAACTACTTTTCAATTTTAAGAAGGGACATAGTATTGTCTCCTACCAACTCCTTTCCACCCCAGGATTTGCTCTTACGCTATAAACTGTTATTGGGTGAGCTGATTGCTAAAATCTCAGGAGGAATCAAGATGAAAGAATCACACCTGAACATTTGTTACCCAGATGGGAGGAGACATTCTGAACACAGATGCATCTTATCTTCATGCAAATTCGAACTCACCAGAGTACTTCCAGATGAGTAAGACTTTGAAGGATCAAAACCTACCTTTCTGCCAGCTCTAATTTTCTCTATACAATTTTGCCCATTTTTAGAACAATGTGTCCTGAAATGCCATCTCTTTTAAGATGATTATACAAGCCCTTGAGCTATGCCCAATTTTTCCTCTGTTGAGCATATATGGAGTACATACCTAGCTATCTGCATATTATATTTACACATCTTGTATAACTTAGCAAAGTTACATGTACATCAACAACAACTTGAGATATTTAGGTATCTGTTAAATATAAGGTGCTTTTAAAAGAGCTCCACAGCATACTTTTCATAATACACTGAGGGCATGTTCTCTCTATCCACACAGAAATGGGAAAAATACATCCCTCAAGATGTATTATGCACAGTGTAAGTACAGTTGAGTAAAAGTTCACCTTTTCTCTTTTCTCTCTCTAGCCTTTGCCTATAGAAATGAACAAATCAGTAGGTTAGCCACCCAATGCTCATCACAATCCAACTTTACTACCTTGTTTTTTATCTCCGCTGACATCAGAGGAATACACAATACGGAGACGAGCAAAGGGTAGTTATTAGTGACGTCCTCCTGAAACTACTCAGGCTCCCAAAAGTCAAGGATTGTCCCACACTGCCTGATGTTACATATACATAACTAAATAGTCATTCAATTGTTACATACTTTCTGTAGTTCATTTCTCTTCATTATCTAGTACCAAGATATTTATGTGAAGGCCTCTCCCTGGTTCTTTCACGAAAACCAGCTGTTGCATTTGGAATATTGGAACAAATTATCTTGAAAGCAGTTGTGAAAGGATTTGAAGCAATTTTTGTACCAGGAGTTGAAGTGTGAGGAGAAAGGGCTGGCTCTCTATTCCCCATCCCCACTACCTGCATCTACCAATACAGGTTCACTTATGTTGATTAGATAGGGTCTGAAACTTGTATGAAATGCTCCTCCACAAATATTACATTAACAAGCTTTAGTAATACTTGGATAGCATTTAGCAGTGAATGTTTACTATATATATAACATTAAACAGTGATCTTTTGTTATGTGGAATGTATTAAATGTCATTTCTATTTGTTAGAGATTAATTCGGTAGGTATTTCTTCTCTCTAATGTTAGGGTAGTTTTAAATGTGCAGTGTTAAAAGTTTAAATTAAAAAGACTTATCTGTGCCCCACTGCCCTTCTCTTTGCAGTTTCTCTTCTCCACCTTCCCCACAACTAATTCACTCATCTACTACCCTTTCTCCCCTCACTCCACTCTCTGACCTTGCTTCCATGAACACTACCCATTCCTCCATCCTCATGCACTGCACAACGGGCACCTACATTTTCCTCTCTTTTCCCCCTTAATCTGTTTCCCTCTCTTTTTAGTTTCCCAGCCTTTTTCTGTCTTTTCCTCAGCTTCATTCCTTGCTTTCCACTCTTCTTCCCCACTTGGGTTAAGTATGTACTGAGCTTTAGGCACAAAAGTAGCCCTACTGAAAATCCTTGAAGTTAGGCAGTACTTATGTTCCTGGTTAAATCAGGACCTTAATCCCTGCTTGCTGCTCCAACCTTTGTTTTACTCCATCATTCCTTAGACACCACTCTGCCCAACCAGGGCTGACCCAAAATGCATTGCCCCATTAACTAATGAAGAAATGTAATGCCTCATAGAATAGAATCATAGAATATCAGGGTTGGAAGGGACCTCAGGAGGTCATCTAGTCCAACTCCCTGCTCAAAGCAGGACCAATCCTCAACTACATCATCCCAGCCAGGGCTTTGTCAGGCCTGACCTTAAAAACATCTAAGGAAGGAGATTCCACTATCTCCCTAGGTAACCCATTCCAGTGCTTCACCACCCTCCTAGTGAAAAAGTTATTCCTAATATCCAACCTAAACCTCCCCCACTGCAACTTGAGACCATTACTCCTTGTTCTGTCATCTGCTACCACTGAGAATAGTCTAGATCCATCCTCTTTGGAACCACCTTTCAGGTAGTTGAAAGCAGCTATCAAATCCCCCCTTATTCTTCTCTTCTGCAGACTAAACAATCCCAGTTCCCCCAGCTTCTCCTCATAAGTCATGTGCTCCAGACCCCTAATCATTTTTGTTGCCCTCCGCTGGACTCTTTCCAATTTTTCCACATCCTTCTTGTAGTGTGGGGCTCAAAACTGGACACAGTACTCCAGATGAGGCCTCACCAGTGTCGAATAGAGGGGAATGACCATGTCCCTCGATCTGCTGGCAATGCTCCTACTTATACAGCCCAAAATGCCATTAGTCTTCTTGGCAACAAGGTCACACTGCTAACTCATACCAGCTTCTCATCCACTGTAACCCTAGGTCCTTTTCTGCAGAACTGCTGCCTAGCCATTCGGTCTCTATCTGTAGGAGTGCATGGGATTCTTCCGTCCGCAGGACTCTGAACTTGTCCTTGTTGAACCTCATCAGATTTCTTTTGGCTCAGTTCTCTAATTTGTCCCACCCCACCACTCCTTTGGCTGTTCCCAGCAGCCTTTGCACTGGCTTTAGCCATTCTTCAGAAGAGCTACCAGAGCAGCCACCGCAAACGATTCTGGAAGTGAATTCTATTTCATTGTTTCAGTGTCCTCCCTTCTCTATCTCTGCATTTCTCTTTCCAGCTTGCACACATTTTCTCCCACCCTTGCCCTGCTTTTTCTTTCTGCATCTCTTTAGGGTTACGGTAACAACAAATTGTGTGAGAATCTGAACAACAAACTGCAGAAGGAAGCGGACTGAACTTGGATAAAACTTCTCCTGGCGCTGGTGGGTGCTCATACCCCTGGCCCCGCCCCCAGCCCCGCCCCAATTCTAACCCCTTCCCCAAAATCCCCACCCTAACTCCGCCCCCTCCCTGCCCCTATTGGACTCCTTCCCCAAATCCCTGCCCCGGCCCTGCCTCTTCCCCGCTTCCTCCCCTGAGTGCTCTGCATTCCCGCTCCTCCCCCCTCCCTCCCACAGCTTGTTATGCCATGAAACAGCTGTTTTGCAGCAGCAAGCACTGGCAGGAGAAGCGGGGACAGTGCGCTCAGGGGAGGAGGTGGAGGCGGAGATGAGCTGGGGTGTGGAGGCAGGGCAGGGAGCTGCCAGTGGGTGCAGAGCACCCACCAATTTTTCCCCGTGGGTGCTCCAGCCCCAGAGCACCCATGGAGTCAGTGCCTATGCCACCTACCTGCAATTAGGGTGACCAGATGTCCCGATTTTATAGGGACAGTCCCGATATTTGGGGTTTTGTCTTATATAGGCACCTATTACCCCCCGACTCCTGTCCCAGTTTTTCACATTTGCTATCTGGTCACCCTACCTGCAATCCATCTGGTGATGGTTACCTGCTCCAGACATCTGCGGTTCCTGATCCCTGGTGTCATGGTCCTTGGAGTTCCCTGGTCCTGGTTCCCTTTGCCTGCGAGAGATGCAGAAGTGAGCTGAGTCCATCCATATCTAACTGTAATATTAAGACTATTTTGTTTGTTATCCCATTTATTCTAGTTGGGTCTGG